CACATGTCAGTCTTCAACGTACTCCCCTCCAGAGTCAACACATTTTTTTCCAACGTTCTGGAAGCATCCTGATGCCCTTTTCAAAAAAGGTTAGTGGTTGGCGGCGTATCCAATCCCGAACATTCTAGATCACGGCGTCGTCCACAAACCGCATGCCTTGCTAGTCTGATTTGAGCTTTTTGAACAGGTAGAAATCACTTGCGGCCAAATTGGGACTGTACGGCAGATGTGTCAGAAGGTTCCATTTCAATTTACGTAGGGTTTCCATTGTTGTTTTGGCCGTATGGGGGTCTGCATTGTCTTGAAGGAAGGCTACCCGCTTTCCACCTCTCTTCCGCTTGGATCGGAACTTTTCCTTCGTGTCTGCTGCCAGGAGGTCTGAGTAAGAAGCTGCATTGACTGTTCTGGCATGTCAGAAAGTCTACATGGATAACCCCCTGTCAGTCCCAGAAGAACGTTGCCATCACTTTTCCTGCCGAACGGCTCCTCCGAGCTCTCTTGGGTTTGGGAGAACTGGTATGCCACCACTCGCGTGATGACTGCTGGGACTCGGGAATGAAGTGGTGCACCCACATTTCATTGGTGGTCACTACAGACTTCAAAAATGCATCACCTTCGTCTTCAAACTGCTGTAGGAGACGACTGGCAGCTTGCATGCGCACAATTTTTCCACGTCCGTCAAAGTGCGTGGTACCCACCGTGCATTCACCTTGCGATAGTGCAGGTGATATTTCATGATGTCTTCTACACTACTAACACTGATGGACAGCATTGCTCCAAGCTTCTTGATAGTGATGCGCCTAGTCTCACGAATAAGCGCGTCTGCACGGTCAGTGTTTGGCTCGGTGACGGATGTTCGTGGCCGACGATCATGCGGTTCATTCTCCACGCGCTCTCTGCCTTCTCTGAAGCACTTACACCATTCAAACACATGGGTCCGTGAGAGACACTCTTCCCCATACTGTTGTTGGAGTCTGTAGTGAATTTCAGCGGACGTTTTGTCCAACGAGGAATTTGATCACAATGCGTTGTTCCACGCTCCGCGGTACTTTCTTTTCGGTCATCATTCTAGCAACTCCCAGACAGGACTGAAGAGGTTCTAACCCGAACAAGAGGGAGGGTTGAGGTTGTGGCTTCACGCTCTCAAGGTTCACAGCTGCTGCGCAGTGCGGCTTGTTTATACACATATCAGTCCGGGTCACATTTGAACCACATTGTATATTAACTACAATATGTACACTTCACCAAACAGCAAAGGCTGAGTTCTTCTTTGTCGTCGCTGTGGATTAAACTCTTAACCTATTCCAGTTAATGATTTAAATCATTCCTGTCAAACTTCTCATTCTGCCCTTCAGATGATACTGATGAAGACAGTTCAGAATTTTGTTTTCTGTTCTTACAATAGAAAAATACCACTAACTCCCTGCTTAGATTCTTCCACGTTTCCCTATGGAAATATATACCTATATTTCGTTCCTCCCAATAAAGCTATAACCGAAAGTATTACACCATGTATCTTTGTACATATATATAGAATCCATCATTGTTTATAATAGATAACAAAATAATAAAATATTTAATCATACAATATAAATCCGACTGGATATCACAAAGTATAAAAGATACATATGCGTCTATAATAGGCCACATATAATGTATCACTCATTATGCAAGGTAAGACTATAATAAAATAATTGATCATACAATGTAAATCTGACTGTACATCCATTTCACAAAAACAATCATTTATGTACAAAATATAAAACAAGCACATACATCTACAGTAGGCCACATTTAATATATCACTCTACTGAAGCACAATAGACCCCTGTAGATCGTGGTGCAAGGGCCGAGAAGGCCCACCCATTATACATATCATCATAATACATGGCTTAATTATACAATCTTACTGTTTTAATCTTCTTTCTAGTTATGTTTCAATTTAAAAAAATCCTCAATTGTATAAAAAGAATTCTGTAATAAGAATTTTGTCAACTTGGATTTAAAACTCTTCGTTTCGTTAAACTTAGACTTAATTTCATTTGGCAGATGGTTAGAGATCTTTACTCTCATATAACATATTCCTTTTTGAAATAGCGTTAAGTTAGGTTGGGGGTAGTACTGATCATAAATAGATCTGGTATTATATTTATGTACTTGGGAGTTAAATTTAAATAATTCCCTATTTGTTACGATAAACATATAGATTGATAAAATATACTGTGCTTGTAAGGGGAGGATACCCAATTCTTTAAAAAAACTACGACACGAGGCTCTCTGGTCACCTGCACGACTGTCATAATAAACCAGCACTTACACAATTTCACTAGTTTGTTTCAAGAAAATTTTCGGCAAAGAACCAGCGTTACCGCTAGTTATTGCTGTTTAAGACAGATGCAACAATGGCCATACAATCTAAGGTAGGCCGCACACCGGCATACGTCAAGACATGGAACAGTCAAGACACGCTATCTGCGATATGACGCAAAGAAAGCACAGTTGAAACGAATGAGATTATGAAAACCGCTGCACACTAGAGTGAGTCATGATGCTGACGTCAGCTTCATGCTGAAGAATCACGAATGAAGCAACAATGCGTCTCTTGTCTCATGTCTTGATGCTTGTCTTAACGCAGTTGGTGTGCGGCCGCCCTAAGACAACAATAAATATATTCAAATAATAATCACTACCGTTCTGTCTCGTCCGTCAGCTAAACTCAACTCTTCTCCAAGGGCGATATTATACCGTCTCTAACACCCCGTTTTATTTTAAACTAGTACACACATTTCCCCAATCCATACTTGGCCCACTTCCTGTGTCCTAACATCAGTTCCTTATGTCACACCCAGACCATACACGAGCCAGGCTTCATCATGCAAAGGTACATCACCCAATGCATCTTCTAAATTGATGGACGGCACTCACCTCCAAGTCCATACTCCGCGCCAGAGCGCTGCCTTGCTGGTGATGGTGATGATCCCCCGACAGTGTGTGGCGGCGGGGCTCGTCACGACGCCCAGACCGCCCTCCCCCCCCCCCACCTCGCCTCACCTCTTCATCACGACCCACGTTGGACACTGCAGTGAGACAAAATTTAACAATCAAGATCGGAAACATTTCACAACACTGCCTACACTTTTGGGGCCTGAAGCAAGAAACCCCGAAGTTTACGGCTCTAAACGGTTAGTAAATACTGACTTTACGTAATAAATGTGCTCGCAATATGTCAAGTTACAATAATTCATAATCAAACCAAACCTTCCATGCAACTGTCAATTTGTACAGCTCCATTAAAATGGCTCCGAAACAAGCTGCTTACTTCTCAAAGATCAATCACTGAATGGGCTACATGGCTGCTACGTGGTTCGATTCTAACCAAGTGACACAGCTGACAGCCCAACTCTGTCGCAGTCAAAGCTTCATATCCTACATCTGGGAAATCTTCTACTTCACGGAGAACTGCTTGTAAAATAAAATCCAAGAGATTATGTGATTGACAGCATTGTTTGATCTAACACGAAATGTCTGTGTGTGTGTTTTGGTATTCCTTTTTCAGGAAACCAATTCTCACTTTACGGCCCCTCTATGAACCATCTTAGTTAACACTAGTCGGTAAAAATTCGTGCTTTGTATGCAAAACATCCAGGATTCGAATCTCAACCAAGCTGCTAGCTTTGTGACGGGGGTTTTGTGTCATTCCTCAGCCTCTTACCATTGTCTCTTATAGGCCCACTATTCCTCCTACTCAGCCGATAAAGCGTCGCGAATCAACCTAATGCAAAGAAGACTACCGCCCCTCACAGCGCCAGTTCGGAAGTTATTATATATGAAGAGCTAGACTCCATGAACAGAGGGCCCACGCCTCACGGTTGGTTGACAGCCTCATTGTCTTCCTCACAAAGTATATGAACTTTCATTTCTCGGGACAGTCTCGGAGGAAGTGCGTTCTAAAATTACCTTTTGTTTACACAGATCTACGGAGGTGACGCGCTGAAATTGGAAAATTCATTCAATCTTACCCCACAAGGATGTCCAAAATTCACACCACAGGCATGGCTCGCTCTGTTCTAAGTTTGTAGCCCAATGTGCCTCAATGATAAAACGTTGACGCAAATCCCGCGTGATAGTGTGTATGTGTGCGCGTGTGTTGGGGGTGACTGACAGAAATTCAGACAATATTTACATTGTCTCTCTCGACTACAGTTATAGTTACAACAGTTATTCGGACGTTTCGGGGCTTCCCTGTTGCCATTAAATATGAAAATTCAAAGTTATCGTAACTGCAATGTAAGCCAGTTGAATCGACTTCATATCTCTACAGCGCATTTCTTTAAACCCATTTTAATATAACCCTATTCTTCAGTTCTAAACATAATCTCTAAATTTCTTGAGGTCACCATTTTGAACATGTACGAAGATTACTACAAATTTTGTATATCGAGTTACGGCACCATTTTCTGTTATATATATAGTTAAACGCAAAGCTATGCTGGAGGCAGTAATCAAAATCTTAAGTTCTTCGTTCGCTACATTAAATGTGCCAATCGATTACGAAATCCTCCACTGAAAATGGATATTGCAAATGTATGAGTTGTTACAATTGCATTATAGGTTTCATCGAGAACCAGACCAAGACCAAAACAGTGTATTTACAAACAAAAAACATAAGCAAACATAAAACCCCTCAGCCTGCTATGTAAAGGAAATAAAAAAGCAAACAAAACTAATAAGTGAACTTAACAACTCAAGAACATTAGTAAACAGAAACCCCTTTGGCTTTGCAATCTGATTCTATGTCAATGTACAAACGCAGAGTTGCAATGGACCACTACTTACAGCCAAAAAAGTTACACTTTGAATGATCGTTACATCATTTCCAAATTCAGACGAATAAACCTGTTCAACCCTTCAAGGACGCATACCACAATTCAAAACTCTTCCTTTTTTTTATTGCTAGTGGGGTGGGACTAAGTCCCTTGTACTGCGGCCACTCCTGGCCTATTGTACCAGGCCCAGATAATATGTGAGGGTGATTGTGGAGCAATTGGTGGAATGAAGATTGGCAGGGGAAACCGAAGTACTAGGAGAAAACCTGCCCCAGCGCCACTTTGTCCACCACAAATCCCATTCGACCAGACCCGGGATCGAACTTGCCGCCGCGGTGGGAAGCCAACGACTAACGGCTTGAGCTATGGCGCGGCCATTTCTGCGGGTTACTTCACAATGCTTTCAGGATCTAGACCACAGATTGCTGAATGGTAGGGTCAGTGATAAATAATTAATTGAAAAGGGTTTGGAAAGAAACAACTGCGGCCTAACAGAGACCTCAGTCTCCCTTAGTAGCATTAGTGTTTCTCTCGCTTCAAAAGTCTGCATGATCGTCATTTTAACTGTGATTTTAATAATACAATTGTATGAAAATACAACTACAATACAAGTTTAACTAAAAGAAAAGTTCACGGCTCATAATGGAAAATTTAATCCAAGTAAGAAATGCAGGGGTTTCGCTGTATGATGGTGCTATGCCGCAGTAGTTCCACTAGAAGTTTCTCCAAACTGGTCTTGGCCAGCTAGCTCTCAAGGCACGTTCGCAGCGCCATAAACTGAACACCCTGTGCATGAGGATTAGAGGCGGTACCATTTCAGATTTGCATTTCTTTACATAATGAAAACCGCATAACCAAGACATGAAGAATCAGTTTTACAGTGCTACTTGTGCTGTTGCCAGAACATTGTTTCGGGACTTCCCTGATATGAACTAAGGTAGGGAAACTCAGACACCCACAATCACAGAGTCTTTCTTCTTCTCCGAATCACAGGAAAGTAAGAAGAACAGTGTAGACGTAACGTTGTGCTTAATAAAGCATTGCGTGATGAAGGAGTCCTGGGGAATGGACGTATATCTCCACTTACTCTTATCTTTGGCACCGAATGGAGGAGGCCCATGGTTCATTTCAAGCTCTGCTTGGTTCACTTCCGTGAAAAGAGCCACTGCATAGAAAGCTGAAAGTTCCCAAGAGCTGATCTGGACTCGGTGGCCAAGGGAAAAATTACAGTTTTCACAGAGGGGATTGTTTTGAGAAAATCTTAACAGGACTGTAATAGCTACCACTGCATGCAGGGAGAGGAAGTGGAATACATATAATATGTTGATGGGAAAGCCAGAAGTAAAGAGACCACTAGAAGACCTAGAAGTAGGTGGGAGGATAATATTAAGATGGATCTTGGAGAGAGGGTGGGGTCTAGAACATCAAGAAAACTCACTACGAGATGATATCAAAACCGGTTCACTCAAACAAACCCTAAATACAGAAGAGCTACACATGTTTTAATGGTTTATCTGCAATATTTAATTGGCCTTCGTAGCAATGTATTAAAAAAAAATTCAGTACTGCAAGCTGATCAACAGTACATAAAATGAGTACTCGTTTTACTGCCAACAAAGCTAATGACATGGATATTTGCACGATATACGAGTATATGTAGTGTGCACTTTTCTTTGTAACTCATTATATACGTCACAGAGAAGAGAGTATTAAACTAAAGTTTCAGATATCAACAAAGGCGCAAGAAACTTCGTGTGATTTAAGAATCCTTTTTCATGAAACATGAGTCTCTTTACAAAAGATCCGATAAGACTTTCGAATAACTTCAGATTGCGGGATTTAGCTACGCCGTCCCTTGAAACTGTTCCAACGTTACGGCCCACATTTTAGTAGCCATTATCAGGGTGAGTGTGAGGCAGAAGTGGGGACTGCACCGACATAAGGACATAGCAGATCTGACAGTAGAAATAAACTTTCGTTTCAAGTTTCACGTACAGCAGAAATCTTTTTCCATTCCACTGATACAGACCGAATGAAATACGTTCGAAAACTTTCAGCGTGGAGAACAGCCCCCCCCCCGTACCCAATGCAATTGAAATCCATCGTTTGGGACGAATAGACACTATCTCCGCATTAAGCATTTTGGGTGGCGGGGGGAGGGGGGCTGGTGCAAGAACCCGTCAGAGAAATGGGAGATCACGCAGTGAACGGCAGGACAAATTCGAACATCGAAAATTGCTCTACGGCACCGAGTCACTGACAGTACAAGCGGCACCAGACAAATTAAATGGGTCTGACAGTCCCGCATGGCGCGTCCTCAGGAGATGGACTCCAGACGTGCAGTGGCCCTAAAACTACACTGAATGAGCAGCCAGGGAAAGCCGACAAGAGGTGGTCATCCAGCTTTTGAGTGGTTCGAGCAGCGAACAAATCTTCACCATACAACACAAGTTAGGAAATGTATACAAAGCATAATAATTCTATGGCGTTCGCTACTGTCTCTTTAATCGTCGCGAAAACCGCAAGACTCGTGGGAAAAAAGTGCAGTGGGCATAAAACGTGCGCGTCAATTCTCTCTACAACTCTTGTTCGTAATATTGTGTGCCTTCCACGCGAGATGGGGACAGATTTGCGTGTAGGTCTACATGTAAAGTGTCCGTTATTGTCATCCGGTTTTAACCAAAACTGGAATTTAGTAGAGCTCCTCAATGTCAAATTTCATGAAAATCCGTTCATTGAATTTTTGCACGCGGACAGAAGGACGGACGGACAGACAAAGCGAAGCTAAAACGCGCACTCTGCAACTTCTACTTCGTTGTTACCAATGCGCCAAAATCTAAGATTGAGAGAGAGGGGTCTTCTGGGATGTGAAGCCGTGAAACCTGGTGCAGAATTAGCAGTGTTTTGGAGGAAGCTGCTTCTTCCACCTTCAGAGTAGAAAATGGGATCCGAGTGGGTGTAAACAGTACAGGCGAAACGTTCGGACTCATACTTACCTAAGATAATGCCCTAATCTCAATATTTCCAGCCATGAGAACCTCAAATTTACTAACTAAGCTAACTTCAGCAATACGAGCCCTTCTTGAGAACTCTCCAATTGTGCAACCACTCAAGAATTTCTCAACATTTTATGGAACCCGAAGGTTCATTACCGTCAACATAAGGGCCCTCTACTGGTCCCTACCATCAGCCACATCAATTCAGTCCACACAACCCCGTCCCAGCTCTCTAAAATCCATTTTAATTATCCA